TTGTAACCTAATTCTTCCTTCTATCCCCTCTTCTCCTCTTCCCTCTTCTCCTCCTCTCTCTTCCTCACTTCCCTAGGAGGTTTTCCAAGCCACAGTCCTGGAATTTCTGAACCAAATACTCTTGTCTCCATTATTATTTCTACTTCTGGAAAAAAAGTCTCAGACAACAGTGTCTCACAGGAAAGGAAAGTCATTATACTGCCAGTACTTGCGAGATGTTTCTTTTATTTCTCATTTCTTTTAGACATCCTTAATAAATTAGACACTGTCTCTCCATATTAGTTGAACCAGTTCCCTTTGAAACTTTCATTGTTTATTATAATTCACCTACTAATATTTTTAAAGTATAAGTTTCGTTCTATTGTCCCTGATTTTTTTTTCTTAGAAAGGGACACATACAGATTCTTGATCCTTTTATCTGAGAATTCAGTATGGCAAATTAGTTTCTTGTTTAGCAAAATACCTTCCTTCCTTCACTTTGAGCTTGAAGATATGACTTGCATTGGCCAGTGGGGTGTTAGTGGATGTGATATGAGCAGAGGCTTTAACTATGTTTACTAGTATGTCCTGGGCTTGCCCTTTTGTGACTTCAGCCATGATGATGAAAAGAACACACTGTGAGAGTAAGGTCCCACCCTCTGGGCCCAATACTGGAATACGTGAAGCAGAGACGCCCCAGCCAATTTGGTAATCTACAGCCTCAAACAGCTGACCAGGCCAACCAGCAAGCACTTACGGGAGAAATAAATGCTTATTGTTATAAATCAGTGATTTTGTGGTTGTTGGTTGCACACCAAAAATAGACTGTTACATGGAGTAACAGTAAATGGTAGACCAAGTTCTACCACTTACTAGTAGAGCTCAGATATCTGTATTTGAAAATGAGGGGTTACATTGCTTGAACCCCAAGATATTTAACAAGATTTAAACCTCATGATTCTTGAGTTGTCTACACTTTCCACAGTGTATTTTCCAGAGCATGGATCAAAATAGAACCATTGTGAAATGAAAACAGAAAGAATGGGTCTTCATTATAGAACTCTGGAGGGTCTGCTGAAGGGAAGAGGTGTATGTACCCAGAGAGGCTTCAATGACAGTTGGTTGCAGAGTACCAGAGGGTAACATGCTACCTTCCCACTAAGTCAGCCTTAAAGGATCCAGGTATAAGGATCAGACACAGGCTTTACTCACCCTCTCTAAGAACAGAGTATGTTTACTATCTTGCATAAGACAATATTCAATGCATCATGAAGAAGAATAAAAAAGATGGAGTAAAAAATGGAAACTACAGGGTATTGAAATGGAAATATTCTTGTTTTGCCTTGCTTTCTCTTGAGTACTTGTGTCCTGGGCTTTGCATCACAATGAAAATGACAAACTGGTGGCACTGTCCTACCCATAAAGGCCCATAATGAAAACACCTGCACAAATGGGATTCCTGCTTTGCATGAGAGGCTGACGGTGGCATATATAAGGTCCTACCCAACCCCAAAATATCAGGACATCATATGAGAATGACTTTATTTGAAGCAGTTAAATATAAGAACCTCAGAAACCTTTATTCAAGGCAGATACTTTAAAAGCCCTAATATCCCTTAACTTCCTAAAAAAAAAAAGGCAGAAATCTCTTTAAGTATCTATTGTACCCTTTTTACACATTTAAAAATTGCCTTTGACCACAGATTTCCTCTAGTTATTCAATTGCTGTTTGTATGTATGTGCAGGAATCGTTTCCATAAGGACAATAATTTCTAAAATAAAATTTGCTGATGGGGCAAAATTAATACATTTACTTGTAATAAAATTACTTTGAAGAGGACACTAATATATAATTAAAATTTTGTCATTTAGGTAATATTTTTAAAGAAGGAAGCGTTCTTATGCAACATGACCAAAATGCTCTGGGGAGCTCTAAAATCATTTTTTCATTAAATAGAGCTGAAATTATGTGCACAACTAGAACATGAGAAATAAAAGAGGAAAACAAAGTATGGAACACTGGGGAATGAGAAAATAGACTGCAAAAGGAACAGTGTTCAAGGTTACCCAGTGAGTCAGGCAAAAAGGGGAGGGTTGGACTGATGCTAAGACCCACAGCATATTCCCATTAATGTCCTTGCATTAAATCTGCCATTTTTAGTAGATAATGCTTTAATGTTTCTCTCATATGAGGGAAGGAATACATATTTATTATTCTCTTAGGGTCTAGCATGTGTTACTTCACAGGTATTTTATCAAATAAAATGATAAATCAATCAATCCCTAGTAAACCAAAGTTAACAAAGCATCATTTTACATATCTAATCTCATTATTCTCACAACCAACCACCTCTGAAATAGGTATTTCATAACTCCTGCTTTATAGATTAATTTAGGTGATGTTTACATCATATGAAGCTGCTTAGCAAAACTTTGTAAAAATTCTAACTCTTAAGAAGGCTCACAGAGGGAGCTATTAAATATAAATATAAAACAGGTGAAGATAGAACAAAAAAGCTCTGAGAAAAACCCAAAGTCAGATACAAAGTTGATATTTAGGAGAATGGGAGCAGTTTGATGATTTTATTTTATGTGGCAGATCTTACTCGCTAATTAGTCAGGACATACATTGGGCATGTCTGCACAAAATCTCTATTGATAAATTATTTGTGCATGAGGGCATCTGGCAGTTAAGCCACAAAAACTTTAACAGAAGGCTTTGACATCACATAGATCTACCACAAGAAAGCAGTCCTACTTAGAAAATTAAGTTTCTGTGCTCCGTGTCTGCTTCTTCAAAGCACTGCTCATTTGTTTTGCCAATGGATACAGTAAAGAGATTTACTGTAATAAAGACGTTGGATTCCTTAATATAAACATGGGTCTCTGCCCCAAGGGTACCGCAGCCTCTGTGACAAGTGGTCTTCCATCCAAAGCCACATGTAGCCAAGAGACAGAAAACAAGGGTGGGGAGGAGGAAAGGAGCAGTCCTAGCATCAGGTAAAAACCTGACTCTACAACAAGGCTCTCTAGGTTCATTCTTGGCCCTGCCTCTTACTGTGCAGCCTTGAGAAAGTTACTTAACTTCTTTAGGACTCAGTTTCCTCATCTATAAAATGGAGAAATTAATAGTACCTATTGCATAGGGTAATTATGAGGATTAAATGAGGATTAATATGTGTTCATGCTTAAAACAGTGTCAGGTATATAGTAATCCCAATATAAATGTTTAATAAGTACAAGAAGGTAGAAAAAGTGAGAGAGAGACTGCTGGACACGCGGTGTTCTTAATGCACTGTTTTGCTTCCTTCTAACCGGGTCCTTTACTTTCCACCTACAGGCCACTTGATTTCTACCAGTAAGCATAACCCCATTTCCGGTCTGACCCCAAACAATGCTCATCCAGAGAGATTTAAGAAGCTCTAATTCAGTAGTTCAGGTGACTCAGCATTAAACCAAGATTGCTGTTATTCTTGTCTTGACCCTGTGTCCCAGTTTTAGTCCCTTGTTCCTGTAATCATGTCCCCGCCTTGTACTCCAGTTCTAGCATATTTCTCCCCGGAGGCTGAGGCCCGGCCAGCAGGACCAGCCAGGTCCTCCCGTTCCTTCCAAGCAGACATCTCTCAAAGGGCAGCCTCTTCACTAGAAACCACGCTCTGGCATACACAGTTGTTTGAACCTTCTAAAATTTGTTACCTGTAGTTAAAAATTGCAGGTTTTTACACAAAGTTCAAAGTTTTGACTTTTATTGAAACATTAGGTGGTCTGACAACACTTGGGCCCCTTGGTACCAACCCACTGGAGCTGAGTGGTTGCTGCCCCCTCTGAAAGGCCACGTGCCATCTTTTCCCCACTGAACCATTAGTTTGGATCTGGATCTAGATCTGTTTGCTTGGCCCTTGCAGGCATTTGAGGTTGAGTTCTAAGACTAAGAACTAGCAGGTACATTGTGCCAAGTATTCTTCTAAGTGATTCACATGCTTTTCTCATTAAACCAAAGTTTATAAATCTGTTTTTCCTTCTACCCACTATCCTTGCAGCCCTCTCCTTGTTTTCAACCCTATGTCTGCATGGATCTGTACCTGTTCTGTCACTCCAAATCACTATTCTCAGGACCCACCAGCTAAGGCCCACTTACAAAGCTTTGTTGAACCTCTGTAATATGTCAACCATTCACACATAATGTGGCCTGTTGCCTCTCCAATCTCCCAACTGGATCCCATTGTCAAGAACTTTGGTCATCAGAGTGGTTATATTTAAGTTACAAAATCCCAGGCTTTACTGATATGAGTGAACCTATAATCTCATGCCTTTTATAAAACCATACAATTTATTATATACAGTCTTCACTCTCACAAGATTTTGTTCCAGTTCTTATTAGAAACCCAGAAAAACCCACAAAATATTTATAGAAACTTACTTATGTTCTAGGCCAGTGGTCGGCAAACTGCGGCTCATGAGCCCCATGCGGCTCTTTGGCCCCTTGAGTGTGGCTCTTCCATGAAATACCATGGCCTGGGTGAGTCTATTTTGAAGAAGTGGCATTAGAAGAAGTTTACGTTTAAAAAATTTGGCTCTCAAAAGAAATTTCAATCCTTGTACTGTTGACATTTGGCTCTGTTGATTAATGAGTTTGCCAACCACTGTTCTAGGCTCTATAACAGAAACTGATTTGAATATTTACTAAGAGCTCCAAAGAAGTTTGCTTATCTATTCTACAAGCAATTCAATCTTTTTTCAGTGAACCACCTAGGAAACTAACATTATTTGAACACAATGGGCAATATTTTTTTCTCAGACAGACCCTGTGCTTCACAAAACAATGGATAAAAGAGAAAAACATCTGCATGACTAAGCGGAGATTTAGCAAATGACAAAGGAAACTCACAAAACTCATTCCATACACCATTCCATAAAATTATCTGGATTGAGTAAAACCGAATATGTATTAAAATCAAAACATAGCTGATTAAGTTCCAAAATAGTTTTTAAAGAAACCCTTAATAAAAAATGTCACTTACATAGGGAATCGTGTCCAGTGTATCAGTGTTGACAATTATAGGAGCAGGGCTGGCCTGAAAAAAAGAGAAGTAGAAAATATTGTAAGTAGTAAGTAGTCTATTCCAAGAATCTGTTAACTTTTAGAAAAAGAGCTTAACAGTATCTCTCGAGGACCCTTATAGCCACCGTGTCAAGTGTTAGGAGAAAAAAAAGAAATGGCTCAAAGTTCTCAACACCCTCCAAATAATCTGTTTGCTACACTTACAACATAATGAAATGAAGTAAGCATTCATGGAACTTATACTCATTTTCTCTTCAATTTTATCCAGCAGTTTAGAAGATGAGGATTTGTGATACTTAAGTGGCAAGGATTTTTAAAGTACTGGGTGAGAGCTAAAGTTGGCAACATTTCTTTTTAAAGTGGCTGTGCTAAGTAAATTTGATTTCCTACTCTAAGAAGCAAAATTAAACTTAAATCAATATTCACAACCCTTCCCCTTAAACTGTCTTTTGAGAGTATGTTGTATTCAATGCAAAATATAAGGGTTCACTTAGTGATATATATTACCTATTATACATGCTGTTATCATTTTTTTGTTACTTATACATTTCTGATCATGTATCTTAAAAATCTCTGGAGAGAAAATGAACACTTAGTCAAAGTGGCAGAAAATCTTATTTAATATGCTAAACTATTTTTTAAATTGTACAAACTGCAGTCATTTGCCTTAAAGTTGAGTAGGAATCTGTGTAAAATATGATATAGGACAGCTACAAGCCAAGTCATTAAAAAATAAGAGATTGCAATCTGTATTTGCATCGACCAATCTGACTTCATGAATATTGAGTAGACCTATCTTTATTTTCTAGTTTCTAGAATTTCCACAGCAACTTTCCCTTCATCCCTGAATGATCTTTAATCTCCTTACCAAATTGTAGATTTCATTTAGATTGAGGAAATACTCTCCTCATGATTAATGGAGAGCTGTGCCATAGGACACAGTAATTTGGGCAAGTATTCAACTTTTAGGGCATTTCCTTAGATGTGCCCTCTGGAGTTAACAGAGGTAACAAGTTCTTAATATCAATCTGTGTTTATGGGATCCTAACTGAATGATAAGACAAGTGGCAATCCAGCAGATTTTACAAAATAAAATACGTGTTTTAACTAAAAACACTGGACATTGAGAACATGACCCTGGTTATACATCCACATAGATGTCAACAAGATGTTCCTGGTTTGTGAAAGTCCTAACAGCAAGTACCTTGTGGGTAAATGGGGCTTGGAAAAGATAGTTTCCAGGGGACTCCACACAAAAACTGCTTGTGAAGAGGCGTGTGGTGTGGGAGAAGAAGGAGCAGTTTAGAATGAGAAGACCTGGGTTAAAGTTTGTTTTATCAACTTCCTCGTATTTGAGGACTCAGCAACTTCCTTGTAGGGTGACCTGGGGGCAAGTCCCTTAACCCCTTTTGCCCCCTTTTTCTTCTCTGTAGAATGGAAATAGAAACAATCACTTTCTGAAAAAGGTTTTTGAAGACTAAATGAAGTGATATATTTGAATGTTTTTGTAAACTTAAATTTCAAAATCAATGTTAAATATTATTATTGAAAGTGTCTCTAAAGATGGACTACTGTGAGGATATATCACTATATGGTTTGTGAACTGTTTATACCCCAGAGGGAAATTTCAATGCTGTGTTAGTGGCTATAACTGCACTGAAGAGAATGGATTAGATCATACGAATTGCCACTTATTAAATATGTATTACTTACCACTATGCGTATAATATACAAATATTGTATATTCTTATTTAATTTCCACAAAAATATATTGATGAAGCATTGTTATCACTATGTCAATGCTACAGATGAGAAAAATGAGGCTCAAGGAAAATGAAAGTTGATACTTAATACTGGCTTTGTAACTTTAAATCTGTTCTTTTTCTCTCCTTGATTGTAGCATCTAATCTTGAATTGATTGGAGATCTCTAGCACCATACAAGATCGCAGCAAAGCAAAGACCACCATGCCTCAGGGTCTTACATATTAGATATTGAAAGAAATCTAGTAATGCCTTCATGGCTTTTATTATTGTTATTATTGTTTGTTTTTACTTTTGAGGGCATCTCTCTATGGTTTCTATGTCCTGGTTCCTAGGACTCCAGAAAGTGATGATGCCTTATCTCCTTTACTTCACTGAAAACTTTCCAAGTATCATGCCTAATATTTGTATTTTACCTTATTGTTTAATATAGTATTGTAACTGTAGTTAGCTGGATATTAATGAGGGAAAAGAGCAAAACCTATGGGGCATGAGCTTGTTTGCTTTACCAGGAAGCTACCACTCCATACTCCAAGGAATCTCAGCTTTGTCCCTCCTGGGGGATTAAACCTCCCCTTCAAGAACTGGACAGTGTATGTGGGGAAAAGGGGAGATAAGAACTTGCACAATAAAGTAAAAATGGTGCAGGGGGTGGTACCTGCCATAGAGGCCTGTCAGTCTAACCTGAGAAAAAGACAATTGACTAGGGGGTAGACCCCAATGCAAACCGTAGAAAATTTAGGAAGCTGACTGATTATTTTGAAAAAGCTTCTGGTTCTTTCCAGGCCTGAGAAAATATAAGTTCAGGTGAACAATCTCTCTCTCTCTCTCTCTCTCTCTCTCTCTCTCTCTCTCTCTCTCTCTCTCTCTCTCTCTTTCTCTCTCTCTCTCCTCTCTCACCTGTACTCGTGCTGTGCATTCATGCATTCTATGCATTCTTTCTCTTTAGTCATGTGGCCTTAACAGCCACATGGCCACTGGCCAATGGGTTCCACAGGCCGGCTCTAGACTGGTTAAGGCAGCAAAGCAACAAACTATAGCTGGGAACACAAGCCAAGCTCACCAAATGCTGGATGGGACTAAGCTTTAATAGGGCACAGGATCTCTGGACATTGACTCTATTTTTGGCCCTGATTTTCCATGGTGAATTGGACAGTGATGGGACACTGGAGAACCTCTATAATTTTGCTTCCCAAATAAACCTTGCTACCAGATCTTATCCTCTCTTGTAGGTCCCTAGAAATACTTTTCCTCATGATACCACAAGAACTCCATATCCACCAGCAACAGTATGATCAGTAAATATGTACATACTGATTTGAATTGGGGCTTTCAACCCACCTTATTTTTTAAATTCTTTTATATGTTGTATTAATATGGTTTGGGAATACATTTATACACAAGCCCATTTCCCACACAGTGCCATTCATCACCTTTGTATGTCTTTGCTTCTATTTCTACTTCCTGTATAAATCTGGTATTTCCAATCAGACTCTATATTTAGAAAATAACAAAGATTGTATATTTCCCTATAAATCTTCATAATATTTGGATACACTGAAGGAACTCAGTAAATACTTAGGAATTATTGACTAAATGTATCTATAGAGTTTAGATCAGGGTATTACAGAATACAATACCACTTTGTAAGCTTTGGAGAACGATTCTAAGAAAAAACAAAAATCTCTAGTTACCAATAACATGACTATGACTACTTTTCTGATATTGACTTTCTTACTTCATTAACCAGTCACTGTTACATAGCTATCCAACTTTCTTAAAATAATAATTATTGCATAACTCAGGATATGGACGCTGTAAATCTTGAAGCACAATCCATGTTATGTAGAAAGCTCTTTGCTTTTCAGTGATAACAAATTCCAAAAACCACAATTAAGACTATATCTATGAAAGTCACTAAAGTGCATGACCATACACTTTTATGTGAGTTGTGTGAACACAAACATGTATCACTGACATGTGACATTGGCAGCTCTCTCATGTGAGTGGCAAGGAGATGGCTTGGTGGGTGTTATGAATAACACACCATCCCACTGTGCTGCCAAACCAGGCTCTCTGAAGATCTCCCATTGCTCTACCCCAGGACCCCACAGTCGTTCCCAGGCCGTTTTTAACTTCCTGGAATCTTTTAGGTAGTCAATGCCACATATCCACAGAGGATAAAGATCACATGGTGATAACACAGAGTGCAGTAGAATTCCAAGTACAGCCCAGAAGTGTGCTCTTCTCACCAGATCTTCCCATGGCTCAGCCTGACTGTTCTTTCTTTTTCTTTTTTAAAATATATTTTATTGATTTTACAGAGAGGAAGAGAGAGGAATAGAAAGCTAGAAACATCAATGAGAGAGAATCATCTATCAGCTGCCTCCTGCACACCCACCACCAGGGATGTGCCCGCAACCAAGGTACATGCCCTTGACTGGAATCGAACCTGGGACGTTTCAGTCCGCAGGCAGACACTCTATCCACTGAGCCAAACCAGTTTCGGCGTGACTGTTATTTCTTGTCTCACTTTTGAAATCATGTGAGTTCATAACTAGTTTGATTTAGTTTAGCTTATGAGTCTTAACACCAATTCCCTAGTTACTTTGATGGTTTCTTCTAAGCTTTATCTGCACACTTCACATTGATCTACCATCCCTATACCTTCACTCTCCATATTAGATATCCTCTCTAATTGGACCACTAAATCAAATTGCTAACTTATAAAATTCCATCACCCCTTTTCTATGTTCTTATTTCCATGAACTGGGAAAAAAAGATTTGTAAAAAAATATGAAAAAAATCCTTTTAACCAGAAATTTCAAGGTTTGACTATCTATAAATCTAGATAGACTTAGACTTAAGACTATAAATCTGTCTTAGGGGACCCAAACTGTAATATGTAAAGGCTTTCTCTTATACTTATCCAATGGGAGAAAACAGTTTATAGCAAGAGGTAAGAATAAAGGTAATCATAGAGAAGCAGGAAGCAAGCAGAGAGGCTACTAATACAATTTAAATTATGAAATCAACTTATTCATTAATTCTACCACCTTCCTGTCCTTGGGATCTATGACATAGCCAAATATTTTAATATAACATCAATAACTTTGCTTACACTAAGAAAAAAGTAAACTTCCCTTGCTTGCTACCATGAAAATGTAACTAATAAAGTTTGCCATAATTTATGCAAATTTTCTAAGGAGTTTATTGATTTTGACTGATGTGGTTTCTTCTTAATATTTGTT